GGAAAGAAAAGGAAACAAAAAAAGCAAACAGTACAACAAAAAATGTTAATCATGAGCAAAAACAAGAAGTGAATAAGATTGGCGCATAACCAAAGTGCAATTTGAAGATCAAATATGAATAATAAAATAGGAAGTATATGACTCGGCAAAAACAACCATTTGAAGATAAAAAAAGATGAAAAGCTGTGGGCTCAAATTTAGAGGAAAACTAATAAAAACTACAATAAAGCTTGTTATTCACAAACAAAAACAAAAAGTGAGAAGGTAGTGCAGAACCAAATTGCATTATGAAGATCAAATATGAATAATAAAAAAAATATAAAATTCCTATTAAATTGCAAAATAAAACTAATTCATCCAACAAACATCATAATATAATGACAAAAAACTATTTAACAAAATTTTATGAGATGGTATGAATCATGTCATGTTCTTGTTTTTTATACAGAAGAAATTAAGATTACAAATAATTTTGCACATATTATTAGATATGGTATGAATCACATCTCGTTCTTGTTTCCTACTCAAGAAATTAAGGTTCATTGCATCAAATTACCACATTAACAATTAGAAAAAAATATTAATAATATATTGAATGCATACCTGATGGAGCTGAAACAAATTTTTCCACATCAATAACAAGCATATTAGGCTGCCCAAAACAAAAAGTAACTTTACCTTTCAGAAGGTAGAGCAATAAGAAATACCAAGAGATTTTTTTTAAAAGACAATGACGAGCTTAAATAGACTGATTTATTACTAAATGAACAAGCTTCAAATGAAAATGAAAAACTTTTATTTAGAAGGTAAAATGGACATACCTGGACTAAAGTCTGCTCAAATGCAACAGCTAGCAAATTATCCTGCAAAGAAAAAAGGCATTAGAACAATAAATTAATAGGCAACTTTAGAAAGAAAATGATGTTAAAAAAAAAAAAAAAAAACATTTTAAAGCTCACCAGCCATCCTGCAATTCCTGGAAGCTCAGTGACATCAATACCATGATTGAAGATTGGTTTTACAGTCATCTGAAAGTAAGGCACTTCAGCAAAGCACACCCGCATACGTCCAATAAATGGCCATTGTCGGAGGAACTTCACTCCAACTAATACCTATACAAGTTTTTTTCAGCTCTTGGTATTTAAGATCGATAGAATTTTACCTCAAAAAGCTATTAACAATAACAATAAAACTGTAACAAGTTTCATATAAAAAGGAGAAGTATGTTAGACTTATGTTTTTACTTCAGTTTTCTAATGCAAAAGAAAATAAAAAATAAAACAAAAACCGGAGATCACGGTTTAAATTGAAGATTAAGAAGCAATTATCTTCTCCTATATACAGTACTTTTTCTGTCGTTCATTTACTCTACACTGAATCTTTATTTGCAAGTATGAGGTTATTCTTGCAAGTATGAGTTTATTCTTGACCCATTCTAACATGGTTAGTTTCACGTCTTATATAATTTTGGAGATGTTATCATCATCAAACACATCCCAACTATTTGGGATGACTTCATAAATTAAAAAATTTCATTAATTTCTCCAAAAAACCTCAGGGGATATTAAGCCTATCATAAACAAATCATATTTCACAACTCCCATTCATGTTACATTTAACTACCGCATTTTTCTTCCCAAGTCTCATGCATTTTCTATCCTTATTTTAATATCTGAAGTCTAACTTTCCCAAGACCATATTAAGTACCACGGCTCCAGTAGGGGGCTATTTTTTAATAGATAAATCGTGTAAGCACAGGTTGAAACTAGCACTACAAGACATGTGCTATTGATCGACTCTCCCAATCTCTCAAAGAACATGCAAAAAGGTTTAAGAAGATTCATTATTATAATATTCTTCTATGTTGTAGCCGCTTTCTCTTCGTCTGCAATGGCTGGAGGGTTATTCTTCCATTGTTGAATCATGCGGGCGCTTGCTAGGATTAGCACTAGAAGACTGATATTTCTTCTTTACCTTTTTGATCAAGGGCATGAATATGGGAACCTGCTTGCGGTTACCCATTCTTTTGCAAAATTAATCTACACTACTCACACACAAGTATCATTTTAATTTCTAATAATATTGAAATATTAATGTACCCACTAAATTAACATTTCATATTACCTTCTAAATAATTTCTTCACTTTCTTACTTTCCAATTATTCCAGTAAGAATCTATGATCAGAACAACATCATCACTAAAATACACAAACACACTTCAGTTTACATATCCTCTACAAACAGTCTCATAATAAATACTAAAAGATATAAACTTGATAATGATATCTCATAAAAGTCTATGTAACTAAAAAAAATTTTGTTACCCTACTACAACAACTTCTATTATACCATATTTTTTACACACCTTAATTCAATGCCAATATATATTTCTAAAGCTTTTTGTGTCTTCCATTGTAGTAAGTTCAACACTTTTGGTTGTTTTCTATTTATTTAGTGTCAGTTGCGACAAGGGCGAAAGTCACTCAATGCATACCTACCCAATAAATTTCAATGCAATAAAAAAAAGGGCACTAAATCAAAATTAAAATATGGTGGATAGAATGGCAATCAAAACATAACAAGTCTCAGCATGCTTTTTACCTTTCCTTCAACATGCATACCTGTCACATGCATGTTTGCCCACATTCCTAACCCTAAACTTTTCCTTAGCTGCACAGCAAGTACCGCACTCATATCCTTTGCAGATAGAAAACTCATTCCCAACTCTAGAACCTACAAAATTTAACATGTTTACCAAAGTTTAAGAATGATACAAAAAATAATAGAATTAAATGCCAATATCAAAGATTAAAATACAAGACAAACCAAGTGGTCATCATCAAATGACTGGCCAAGAACTCTTATCTCTGTAAACATGGGCGGGTTCCTTCCCAGGTAAAGGCTCTCAACAACTGCCTTACTCTGCAGCACAAGTAGTGCATGGTAAGGTTATAAGAGTTTAGTAAAGTTAAACATAACTTGAGAGCCAACATTAAAATACATATTTTGAGTTATCGAAAATTTATTATTCTAAGCGCCAATATAAAAATAAATGCATGCACCTCAATAATACACTAGAGACAATAAAAAAATAAAAAAAATAATAAAAAAGTGAAACATTAGATAAGAAAAATAAGAGTGCTTAAATTACAGAAAGATTGCTTCGAAGAAGACATACAGCAGTCCAAGGCTTGTATTTGTCCAAGAACCAAGGTATGATTGGCAAGAGGAAATGCTGAGATGCAATCTGTTCCATACAGATAGGCCAGATCTTTTCAACTGCGTGGTTTAACCACCTTACAGATTCTGAATCGGAAAGGAGCTGTAAGAAACAAAAATAAATTGGAAATCAACTTCTAAAGGTAAGATGGAAAATAAAAATATAATGATTGTAAATCAAAGGGGTGGCTAAAAGACAATTGATGTACATACATCATGTTTTGTAATATTAGACAGAATAAAATTAGGCATACCCTCCTTTGGTTAGCATATTTTCGTTCTTCATGCTGCAACTTCCTCCTCAATCTCACCGTATATTGTTGATTTACCTGAAACGAAATGAAAATTAATAGGAATTAAATTGATAGTGCAAAAAAACTAATTTGGATTTAAATATGGGAAAACCTTCAAGCTAAATACAAGTGAAAATTTCATCATAAGAAAATCCAACATTGAATTTGTTAAAAATCAAGAAAAAGAGGCTAATTGAAAACATGATTCTGAATTGGCATAAGACTTTTGGAATTGGTAGGATTTTTTTTTCTACGAAAAAGTGATTTGGCATAATTCTGTTAATTGTTGATGAGTCCAGAATGGCGAGGCTAGTCGACTGAGATAATAAGCATTGGATGTTGGTTTCTGAAATCCGCAGAGGTTGGCAGGTATCAAGCAATGATCGATGAGGAGCATCAAAAGTTAGACGATGATAAACGATTGGCTTAGTTTTTCCACCAATAGAAAGGGAATCTGGCAATAAGAAAGATGGACATTGAACGCGACGGTTGAGGGTATCAAATCTCAGTCATTGATTGGCATCGGGCAACAGTCTATGGAAAACATAAAAAGTTGATAAAGAGGGGAGACCAAGGGGAGACCAAGTGATAAAAATAATGAGCATTATATGCCAACTGCTGGCAGAAGTCAAACTTCTATTATTAGCAGTTGATAAAGAACTTAAGAGATTGAGCAATAATGGATAGTCAACTTGATCTTGTCAAGCATAGGGCATGTTTGAGAAAGAAATTGGAAGTTTGATGACAACTGGTGGTCTTGATTATTATTTTGACAGATTAGGAGATCAATGATTGAGAAGACGGGCTTTGAATGTCAGTCGTTAACGTACATCAAATCTCCGTCATTGGCAAATATCAGGTAAGCAATTGATGGTGAATAATAGAAGTCAAACGACAATTGGTAGTCAGCTAGATCATTGGAAGAATTTAAGTAAAAATGAACAGGGAATATTGAAATTTGAGTGATGGTTGATGCTACACACCATTGTCCTCTTGATAATAAAAAAGACTAAGAAATTTAAAAGTTGTAAGTTAGACATCAGTGGCTGATAGACATCAATTAATCATTGGAATTCATCAGGTGATAATCATTGGAAACCATCAAGTCTGGTAAAAATTAGTGGTCCACTTCGTCATTTTCTTGATAAAAGAAAAAATAGGATGTTTGGGACAGCAAGAGTTAAATGTTAGAGCATTGACAAAAATTTAGTGACACTCTTTAGGTAACACATTTGAAGTGGATGAAGATGACAAATTGAAACAGTCGTTCTTTTGAAAAGAGAGGAGAGGATACAAAATGATAATAAAGACAAATATCAGACGTTAGCGGCTAACAGACATTAAATATCGGCCATTGATAGGTGTTGAGCGTTAGTCAATGGAGAATTTTGAAAGCCAGGTGATGATTAGATGTCAACTTTATCATCTATAACAAGAGGGGAGATTAGATGACCTCCAAGATGAGATTCAAACGGTTGTGGAAAATAAATCATCATGTTAAATGGACTGCACCATTATTTCATCATCATGTTGAGTTTTATGCATTCTATCACATATCTCATCTTTATGTTAAAAAAATTGTGTCAAATCATACTTTTATAAGAAAATTCCAACCATTCTAAAATCCATCTGCACATGCAATTTCAAGTCAAAAGATTGTTATGCATTCAAATTTACATAGATGTGGGTAAAATAGAAAGATACCTATTAAATAGGCTACAAAGGTATAGAAAATTACAGCTAGCAATAATTATAATCTGAGTATTCTTCATAAGCTTACAAGAATTCAAAAGAAATTTTCACAATAGGAAACTACTTGTATATGATAAAGCTGTTTTGCTTCCATTGATGCTTCTTAGGAAATGTTGGACTGGACAACTCTAAATGATGAATTTGACATCTCTATTTTACATATACTTCAAATCATGAAAAGAGGAATTCTAAGAACTGAAGAATGCAATAATTTCTAACAAATTCAATAGAGAAAATGACTGGTACTAGATCCAGAGTCATGCTTGTAAAGCAATGCTTCGTGCATGTTCTAAGAAAAAGCATACACTAACAGCCTCCTAAAACCAACATTAGAATGGGTAAGAAACCATATTACGCTCATATATAAGTAAAAATCTGAATTGAGAGGGACAATTATATGGGTCCATCCATGACTAATGATTGTTTCTTTTAGTTAATCTTTATCATCTTAAGGAATATCATTTGTGTGAAGTTTCTATCAAAAAAGTTTGGGGAAAGTTAGATGTACGCGGACTTACCCTAATAATACAAAGAGACTTTTTCCATGAGTTGGACCCTTGACTTCCATGTAAGGATAGAAATAACTAATAACCAGGGACTATTTGGGTAGAATCTCTATTAGAGAAAGTGCAGAACATTACAATACACATGAATAAAGTGCTATAATTTCTTGTGAATAGAGATAAATATATTAATAGGAAGCAGCTTAGAAACAACAATGTGGCAATTCGGTATTGGCTTAAGATTTGTGGGCTTCCATCGTTGTGCAAAGGCATATAATTATTGGTTCATTCTTTTCTACAACTTTAATTTGTACTTTCTGAGAACTTGATTTATGAGCCCCTTATCCTTGTAAATTTAGGGTGAATAAAAGGTTTAAAATTTAACCCGGAATAGTTGGAGCATTCATTTGTAATGTATATACTGTTTGTAATATTATTTACAAGAATGACCTCAAATCTTCTCAATCTTCAGCAGCTTTAAATGTTTCAATTTAGATGCACAGTAACATTATAATATTGTGCCTGCTTATTGAAAAACCAATAAAAATTTGCATACTTGCGATGGCTTGAAGGACAATCAAGATCATTCATTCTTAATTTTATTACTGAATCAGAATAGTAAAGATGAGAATTCATGAATCAAATATCAACTAACCTAGGTTTAACAACCCAGCAACTCCAGATTTAACCGTCATTAAGAATATAGGTTAACTCACTAGATAACTATAACATGAAAGCCAAATAAGCAATCCATATTCAAAACAATCAGTAGATCCTACAGCCGTAACAGTAAACTAAGATAAACCAACACTGCAAACATAATACTAACTTTCAAATTAGCTTCATCAAAGAATCAAAAGGAACAATTTAACCCGATTAGAATAATAACAAAACTAAAAAAATGGTTACATACTCCAAAAAAGGGGTAAACTTCAGTATTTACAACAAACTTAAATTAAAAATCCATTAATCTACCCGTGCAGCCTTCCATCTAAACCCAAAAAGTTCAGCGCATCAATCATATCAACGAGTTCACAAACAGCCAAACTCAAAACTTCCCCATACAAACAACTTCTCCAAAAATAGAATAAATTTCCTCAAACCTCATAATATAATTGCCACACGAGAATCAAAGAAGGCGGGTGTCCAAATTTAACCAGAAGAGATTCAAAGTAGCAAAAAAAAAAAAAAAAAAAAAAAAAAAAAAAAAAAAGAACAATCCCACAATGAATCGCGCAATCACTAAAACGCAAGAACTAGTTTCTAATACTCACTGCAAAGAGGTAGAGCAAAGCCCCGAAGTAAAACAGAGTATGCGACCACCCTATAGATGCCATGATCCAGAGTGCCAGAAGCACCATCCCGATGTGATGAACAATCGAAACCTCCGTTACGTCCATCTCAACACAGCAACAAGAGCACACTCGGAACACAAACACCGCCCGATGCCTCCAATCTCAAATATCACGCAAGGGAAGAAGAAAGAAATGAAACGAATCAAATCCAAAAAAAAAAAAAAAAACTTAGTGTCTCACTGGAGCCGAAACGGTGGGTTTCGAGGGAGAAGAAATCGGATTCGGATTTGTCGAGCGGTTATTTTTTAATTAGGGTATCGAAGAATTTTCATGTCGGTTAACGAATCGGAAAGCGGCTGCCGGCTTTTTTGGCGCATCTCTGCGTGGAGGGAAAGGTAGGTTGGGATTCATACAAGGGGGAAGATCGGATGACGTGGCAATGTCGGCAAGCGGCGACACCAGCCGTTCGACGCCGGCCGTGCCGGGAAATTTTTAGTGGGGACCACTGGAAAAAAAAATGCTCGGTTGCTGGCCCACAGATGCTGTAGAAAATTAGCTCTATCCATGTAGTTTTGTTATTTCCAAGCTATTATTATGGAATTATAATTCTGAAAAGATATTATTGTAGATTTTTAAAATAAAATGTATAATTAATTCCACAGCATCAAAATAACACTAAGTTTTTAAGAAAATATTACCATAATATTGCTTAATACAATTAAATTATTTATCAAACAATTTAATTAAATTTACATTTTGTGTTTAATTATGCCATCCAATAATTTAATTATATTGACAAATAACAAATGATGTATAATATCTATTTCATTTTAATATAAATTATATTGTGATAGCTTGATTAAAAATTTTTCTAGTATTCTCAAGATATTTTCATGGAGTTATTCAAAGAAATTATTTTTATTTTATTTTGTTAAGAATAATTACTCAAATTATTCAAGAGTAAAATGAGACCTATTATATTAATAATTAAATTTATTTTAGTGTAAAAAAAATATATTGTTTAGTCAAGTGTCAACCACTTATTTATTAATGTCAATGCAATTTTCACGTATGAATTAAACCTAAATTTTATTTGTATCTTAATAGTCTCTCTTATATAAGTGATTATTCGATCATGCACAAGTGCATTTTATGAAATGTGGATATCTTAAGCCATGAGGCTTATTGAATCTAGAATTGTATGTTAATGGACTCACAACGCCCAAGTAAGATAGATGTACATGGAATAGACAAAAAATGTGTGAAGATGTGAGCATTATAATTTTACTAAAAGAGAAGCAGTTACCACCCCAAGGATTGTCATTCATTGATATGTTATCAACGAATTCTCATCATTTGACATGAATTTTGGCACAACTTTCTAGCAAAAACTATTCAAACCTAGATTAAAAATCATCTAGAACTTTAATTTTAACAAACTTACAGATAAACTGGCTGATTCAGTGAGACGAACACAATGAAACCAAAATTAGCTAAATTCTAGTCAAATCAAGCATGGATCAAACTATTAAACAAATTTGAAAGCTTTGAAATGATAAATAGAATGTCATATGAATTTCAAATCTGACGAGGTTATAGTAAAATTGAGTGTTTTAATGAGAAGAATCCAACAAACCCAATATCACTCAGGCCTAATATTGTTGAGGCACTTAAATGTCCACAAAATACTATCTGAACATGGGAGTTTCTCCAGATCATCCAATGGAGTGATCTGGATTTCTTCCTTATTTGTAGAGAGATCACTCCTAGACTCTATAACCCTTTATGAAGGGATACCTTGAACTTGAACCAGAAGAAAAACTAGGTTTAATCGATTCAATGGGGACTGGATTAGACCTCTTCCATAGTATGTTATGGTTGCAAGTCAAAGCTCCAACTAACAACCTTGGATAGACCAAAAATTCTTGGTGGATTCTTGTCGACTTCTTTTGTCACATGCTATAGTTATCAGTTGGATGCACTTTGTCTAATAACATAATAAAGACTGAACATTCTTGCTGATAGACAAGATTTTCACCCATAGCCCTGGAAATGAGCCCAAGAGCAAATCTCAATGAAAAGTTAATACTGGATAAATCTCTCACTAGAAAGACCCCGTGAGAGCAAGTGTTCAATAAATTCTCCACTCAAAAATATAATAAGGCTATAAGCCCCATAAAGTATAGGTGCATCGAAAACCTTTGAAGTAAACGAGCCTCAGAAGGTACATGCATATTAAAAATCTCAGAAGGCTATGAGCCCAAAAGATACATGTACATTAAAAACCACAGAATGCTATAAGCCCAAAAAGGTACATGTACATTAAAAACCCCGTAAGACACATAAAATGTCAAAAAATCTCAAAGGGTTATATGTCTCAGAAGGCACATATACGTAAAAAAACTTGAGGGGTTATAAGTCTCAGAAGATTTTACTTCCTCAAGAAGCAAGAGACTCTTGAAAGTCATGAACCTCAAAAAATTTTAAAGTCAAAGCTCGTATTGGGAGCTGTTCTCCAGTTGGGATATATTTGATTCAAGACATTTGACATGTTTTATATCCTCTAGGGGACAAATTGTATGGAATTAAATTTCTTACATCAAGTAAAAAATAGATACATCAAACATACAAACTATATAAATCAACATACTAATTATTTCAGACACAATGTAATCATGTACAAATGTCACACAAGACAATTGCAAAGCTATAAAATCCAACACACACTGGTATAAAAGCTACAACAGGACTGTAAAAATAAGGATATTAATCCACTTCAACATCCTGCTCATCATTAGAAGTATGCTCCTTAAAGCTTCTTTGAGCTTCGCAGCTTTTCGAGCCAAAAGATGGGTTCTTTTGGCTCCTAATCACAAACATGTACTCAATAGCAGCTACAATATAACTGTAAGAAGAATAAACCCTTTGATGGAAGAATCGGTAAAATTTTCTTCCCGCTTGCTAGGATCACAACTTTATATTTTCCTTTCCAAGGTTCAATATCCTTATTTGAAAAACATACAGCTTCTATGCTCTGATCAAGGTTAGCCCATTTCTCCCTAAATTTTTATAGAGTATATATCAATTCTCATTATTGCTGGGAGAGAAAAATTGTCATGGAAGATAAGTTATGCCGTCACTTTACTAATCACAAACATGTGCTCCTTGAAAGGTGATTCTTTCAATAAATAAATTTTACTCCTCTTTGGTTAAGTTGATTAGGCTGAGTTGTTGAACTTTTATAAGCTATCCTGCTACTCGACATATGATGAATTATTGAATAGGTCTGAAGATATCTTGATCTCTAAATTAGGATCGGGGATTTTTAGCTTAGGCCTGAGTTTTATAGATTAATTACAAAAAATAATAAAATAACTTAATACATTTTACTGATTCAAAAATATTGAAAATAGGTAATATGATTGCCATTTGTTGATGTGAAATTCACTTCATCTTTTTCTTTTCTATGCTTTGGAGGGCCATTGGTCCAATATGGTATCTATTATGTCTCCTTTTTCTTCATTCTTATTTGAGTGTTGGTATTCTGCTTACAAAAATGTAAGTTTCAACTAAAAGGTTTGACATTCCTCGAGTTGATTTGATTTCTAAATTATTTAGAAAGCAAAAGAAAGATGAAAACACAGAAGAAGAAGAAGAAGAAGAAGAATAAGGTAAAAATAAAAAAAGAAGCCGGGTTTGCAAAGGTGAGTTATTTTCCCTTGGACCTCCCTGAAAATACTCTTCTTGTTCATGACGAGTTCAAAGTTAGGAACACTTTAACAAAAGGTGGAAGTTACATACAGACCACCCAAAACTTGTTATTTAAAAATCAACCATCCTCTTTCATCTATTTTTCAAATTCTCACTCATATAACAAAATTCATAGTTTTTTTTATTTATATCAAATTCTCAATAGTTTGATCATGGTACATGTAAATACATCGATTCGGTAGTTCAAATAAATCAACTGGGTGGTTAATTTATAAATATCAATGTTTCAAGTGGTTTGTATGTAATTGTCCCTTTTTATTACTGAAAAAAATGCATAGAAATAAATTGATTTTATGATTTTGTCTACTTCAATCGAATTTTTCGTTGATGAGCATTACATTGATCAACATACGTGCCTCAATGTCACCATAACATTGATGTTGTCAAAAAGGTTCACACAACAACTCTAAAAATTTGGTCTGACCCTATAACAAAATAATTCTTGAGATGATCACTTTATCATCCACTAAACAACCAAATGTTGAAGTATTGAGGATTAAGGCTAAGAATCTATACATTCGAGTCGCTACTTACAAGCGTGCAACGACTCTCCTAGAAGTTCAAATAGTAATCCTACTAATACTTTGACATCCATGTTGCAAGAACCTCCTCATGAGATTTATACTATGATTTTGGCTACTCCAAAATCAAGTAGAATGCTTGTAACTTATCATCACAATAAATGATTTCAAATTGGTTGTATTGTCTGATTTTGCTAAAATTTTAGAAAAATGGTTTGAATTAAGAAATTCTTTTATTGTGATAAGAAGAAAACTTTATAGGATAAATGCCAAATAAATGGTTTTTCAAAGGAACTTGGAATCTTCTCTGTCAGACCAATTCATGCCTGGAAACAAGTTCATGATGAAGAGGTTTTCTGAAAGTAAGAAAATTACCACTGATGTTCGAGTCTCTAATTTTTTCAGCATTATTTATGAGTAAATATTGTGTTGGGAATTATCCAATAAAATTAGATGAACTGTTTGAATTTTTTATGTATTTTTTTATTCAACACAAATATTTGTTTAATCACTTAATTTTGTGGTGTGATAAGATAGTGGATATGATTTTTTTTCATGTAATTCGACTGATATTGGCTTCTTATTTTATTTTCTATTTTTTTTTAAATGATTAAGATTTGGTAATAAGCATTGACTTTTTTTCGAATAGTTGCATTGAAAGAAATTGTACCCTTATTATCTTGTCTTTTCATTCAAATTTTTCTTTTAAAATGTCTAAAAAGTTGCATGTAAATATGTTGAATTATAATTTGTCCATGAATCACACCCAATGAATAGAGCATAAGGGAAGAAGAGAGGAAGTGAGAGAGAGAGAAAAGTAATGAACAATGATCAATCTTATCTTATTCATAAAATCATTCCCTTATTTATAGAGAATAAATAAATATATAAATAAAAATAAAAATAAAAAACTTGCAATTAAAATTGCTTAGTATATTCTCAGATAGGAAAGAAATTAACTTGAATATTTAATATTTAAACATTTTGATCGCATTCACTCATATTTCAAACCAACAAAAAAAAGTACAATTTTTTAAAAAATAAATTTTATTTATTTTTAAGAAAACAAATCATTATCTTTAATCACATTAAATTATTTACGCTTATTTAAACTATTATAAAAAAATATTCATAATTTTAGGAAATACTCTTTAAAACTTGAGTTCATATAATTAAAAAACGACGTGATTTCGCTGCCAACATGCCAAGAGTTGGGCTGTCAAAACGGCTCGTTGTTCTTGAACAGCTCGTGTTCGTCTCTTTCACTAAGTTAAAGAGTCGAAAACGAACAACACGAATAAATATTTGTTCGTTCGTGTTCGGCTCATTTTGGCTTGAAATACTATTAATCAATTATATATATATCTTTGATGAGTAGTCTTTTTCAAAAATTTAGTTAACTACAAGGTTACAAAGATTTATAATTAATTAAAAGTATTAATGAAGAAAATAGAATAAAAATTATTAAATTAGATTCAAATGATGTTTAAATCTTAACCCAGTCCTTAACATCGGATGACTATGTGATCAGGGTTGTCAAAATGACTCTTTGTTCGTGAACGGCTCGTGTTTG